ACTACCACTACCACTACCACTACCACTACCACTACCACTACCACTACGACGACAACAACTACTACTACGACTACTACAACTACTACCACTACTACGACAACTACGACTCCTATACTCCTACTCCTACTCCTCCTCCTACTCCTGCTAGTACTACTCCTCCTAGTACTACTCCTACTAGTACTACTCCTACTAGTACTACTCCTACTACTCACTCCTACTCCTACTCCTACTCCTCCTACTCCTACTCCTACTCCTGCAGCAGCAGCAGCAGCAGCAGCAGCAACGCTATGTTGTGTTTGAGGAGGTTTGGTTTTGAAGCTGATGGCTGTGCAGAGGTGCTTAGAATACAAAAGGGGGGAAAAAGGAATTGAGCCCGGTGGTCTTTTTAAAGCAGCAACCCTACCTGATTTTTCCTTCTGGCAGAGGTGGAACGGCGTTTGGCTATGTTTGCTTGGGGCGCAACCGGTCATTGTTGGTCGAATGTTGCATTCCACGCTGGTCCGAGCTGTTTGCTCGCTCCGTGCGACCCACCGCCGTCTTTTTCAAGGGGAAAGTGTTCTACGGAAGAGGGCGCGCCCTATGCGGGGATCCGCTAGCTATCGAAGCTTCGCTTTGGAAAGTACAGAACGCGTGGGCCGCGTGGGTCTTGACAATGTAGACGATTCATTGGCTTTAATCAAGCCGTTCCTACATGTAGTAAGCGCAGGCCTGTCACGACGCGCGCAAACAGAACGCAGGCCCTTTTGGAGTGAAAGTCGCCTCTGCGTGGTAGCGGACCCGTGATGGTCACTCTTGGGCTCTTTGGCCTGAGCTACGGACAACCACCCACTTCCGGGTTCTCGTGTTTCTTTCTATTCTCTGAGAGGCAAAAGTGGATGGATGGATAGATGGATGGATGAATGAATCCAGCCATGCTGGCTGTGGCACCGTGACTTGCCAAAGGTCATGCCAGACGGCTAAAGTGGCGCTTGGAAGTGGAGTGGTGGTTTTAGCCTATCTTGACATTCCAGCAGAGGAGCCGGTTTCTGTATGTCCTGCTTGGGAGCCTACTCAGGGACGGCCAGAGACGGCTGATTGGAGTGATCAATATGGATAATTCCAACAGCTACAGCTACCCCGTTGCTTATACGAAAAATGTTGCCGCCCTGCATGCACCGCGGGAAGAACCAGCCCAAGTGACGACAGAGAACCCCTGTTTAGAGGTGAGGTGGAATTTTTGCAGGAACAAGGGCCACCTTTCATCATTAGGCAAGCTGTTTGAAAGAGAGAGACTTTGTTTTTTCGCTACAAGGAAGAATTGGTGACGCAATGATGCTGTTGATTCATGTGATGCTGTGATGTCCTCGGAAGGAAGGAGTACTTCCACACATGCTTCGTGCCAGACATCAAATCAAGAATCGATTACCGAGCAGCATGACCAAACCTCATTCCAGTTTGTTTGCTACCAACAATCGTGGACGGGTTTGAAAGGCTTTCCAGACAAATGTGGCGAAAACAAGGTGGAAGTCTATAAGAAAGAGCTCGGGAAGGGCCAACGTCCAAAGTCGTGACGTGACTCCCCCAAGGAACTTGCAAGCGTCGTGTCCTGCCCAACAACACGAAATTTGAGTTGGGAAAGTTGAACGGCTAATTGAAGCCGATACAGTGTCCTCGAGATTCAGGAGCCGGGGCGTGGGCCACTAAGAGTATGAATCGAGGATGGTTGTACGTTCTGGATCAAAGAGCAACCCTCGTCCATTTCAGCAGCAATGCAATTATGCGCTTGGTCAAGCGTTTGCCACTGTCAAGCAAAGGTAGAACTGAATGAAAACTGAATGGTTTGGCTGGGTCATGACGTATACGCGAGAAAAGTTTTGAGTTTTCCATTACCATTTGGACACCCCAGCGGCGTTCCATCTATGGTGCAGGAAGTGTCCGGAAGCTACAATGGACAACGCAGCGGATTAGGCATTGACCTTTGTCAAAGAGTGCAATCGCCCTTCTTTGGTGCATTGCAAGGGATGCCTATGGCGAGGGAGTGGGGCAGGAGGAGGAAGAGAGGGTGAGTAGACTGAAGACTCGCAAGTTGGCGCTGGAGCCAGGATTGAGGATGTTGAGGTCACCAAACAAAAGACGGCAAGCTGGGTCCGGACGCTTCTCTTCCTGATGGTGCTCGTCGTTGGAGGATTGCACATATTTTTCTACAAGATGTGGAAGAAGGGCAGGGGGCTGGAGGAAGGAAAGGATGATTTCTGGATGTCATGACAACAGGAAGATTGCAAAAACACGTAAATGGAAACAACGAATTGCGCTTATGGCATAGGTCATAGGTCTTGCTTCTCAGGTTCGTGTTGAGCAGGTCTTCTGCATAAACCTTTGTAGAAAATTCTTAGCCAACTTTAACCGGCAGATCATGAGGCCAGCAGCAGCAACCTGTGGATCAGGAGCAGGAGATTGCACAGGCGTGCAGATATCTTCGCGAACAGTTTGTGATTCTGGAGATGATGCCGGCGTGAGAGTTTGTTGCAGGTCATGGCAGAGTTTAGCCAGTACAAGACGGAAGAGCCCCTGCCTCGTAATCGCACCTTAGATTTGGATCCCCGAAGAAGCGGCGAACCCAATGCATGTGTGCCATGTAACGCATGCGAGTAACTTGGCTGAGGTTGACTCCGTATGCAATTTCACGAATGGTGGCCGGCTGAGAAGCTCCATGATCAAACACCATGGCTGATGCCCAAGCTGATTGGATTGAGTTTGCCGCTTTTCAGGTGTGGGGATATGCTTGTCTTTCTGCGCGGAATGAAGCTTTGGCATGTTGAAACTGGAAACATTGATTTCAAAGCTTTCTCTCCTACCCCGAGCCTATTAAAGACCATTAGAATCTTGGTTTTCACATGCCTTCACTACCTCTTACTTGCTAGCTGCTTTACAGTTAGCAACAATACCTTCTTTGCTACCTCGCTCAAGACTCCAACTGAGGACCCACTGATGTCTATTCTAGCTGCAGAGGTTGTGAAGAAGATCAGAGGTCGGACATGCCACAATGCGTTATTGCGCATTTGGTCGTAACAGTGATGTTTGTGACGTGTTTTCTTTAGTTTTTTTAGAACATGGTGGGGTGCTTAGGTTGTAAAATCCTTCTAGAAATGTAAGAGGAACTGCCTTGCTCTGGCTCCAGCATTTGACCCAGGATATGACTAGAAAACTGAATTGTTGAAGCCTCTGAGTATATCATCACCAATGAGTCAATTAGCCATTTAGGAGATTTTGCTGCTGCAGCCACGTAGTGAGAACTAACGATTAGGATATGGGAGGTAAACCGATCACAAATCCATTCATGAGTTTTGCACATTGCAAAGACGCTACTAGGGGCTCCTGGCCATACTACTAGGAACAAGAAGCTACTATATAAAAACAATAAATCAACAATTAAACGTAATTAGAATTAAATACTAGTGTGATTCACCAAGTTCTGCCCACACACCGCCCAAGCTGCATAGCTACGAGCACAGCTACCAGACATGGGGGCACGCACCGGGGCAACCGGCTCTTAAGGGCTCCAGCTATTCACACGCACTCCCCCCACTCTGCAGCTCAAGCATGCAGAGTGCAATGTGTGCAATCTGGCAGAGGCCGTTGGGCTTGAGCCACCGC